GCGCCGCAGATCGTGCCCGCCGGACACCCCGCAGTACTCAACGCCAAAAACAAAATACTATTCTTTGTTAGTTCACATTTTAACAGGATTCATTACAAATTAGCACCAGTTTATTTATAACATAGGGAGAGTAATTATTGTTGTATGTTTTTCAGATCTGCTTGACGCGCGGCGACACGCAGCTGGTGCTGCCGCTGGTGTACGACTCGCAGAACAACAGCACGCAGCTCGCCGACAAGCGCGACGCACAGCCACACCTCCTCGCCGTCAACCTGCACCTCAAGCGGTAAGCTTGCCCTCAGCCTTCACTGCGCCCTTTATTATTTAATACTCATGTTATAGCTATTTTATTTATACGACTTCATTTTTTTTTTAAATTAGTTTCCATGTATTATTTTTATAACCTTTATCCGTGTTTTCTGTGTAGTCGATCGAATCTCCTTTCAATTCACTATGTATTTAATATATTTCCAGGTTCAGCGAGTTCACTCAGGCGCACTCAGAGTGCACGCTGTGGCCGGCGGTGCGCGACCTGCTGACCAACTTCACGCTGCCGCAGGAGGCGCCGCCCGCCGCCGCGCAGCCGCCGCCCTAGCTGCACCGCACTACACATCACAATTATTTAAACCATTAGTTTTATATCCGCAATATGCGCGCTGTTGGAACTGTGAAGATGTACGTTGCTGAAACTGTTGCCGTAATGTGCCTGCAATGTGTTTCAAACAACACTAAGGTCTGTCGAGTTATGAACACAATAAACTTCTAAACATGTGTAGGTGTGACCTTCCTTACTGCTGATTTTATGCAATTAGACACAAATCACGTGAATGTGTAATAAATTATTACGTATAATCTATGTTCTATATTATCTATATAAAAACAAGAAAAATGTAAATACCGTGTAAATGTTTTTGTAATATGACAAAATGAAACGTCTGATATTTGTAAAATGCCTATTTTTAGATGTAAAGAATATTCTGCCGCGGTCTGAGTTGTTAATGGTTATTTAGACCCTTAGTGTAGACTTCTCATAATAAACCGGCGCTAAGGCTCTTCCTCAGTAGCCATTAAACTGCTTTGAATATGGCAGTATGTTGAATAAATTCAATTTAAATATAAGTTAAAAGTCTCGTTTTGTAGTGAAATGTCAAACAAACATTTTATTTATTTCTTTTTACGTTTTTAAGTATCTTATAAACAAATAAATAAGTTTTAATTTACTGTATTGAAATAGGTTATTCTAAGTTAAACTAAGTTTGATATGTGGGTGCGGTATCGGTCTACAATAATTAACTAAGAATACTTGGAGTTGTTTTAATGTAGTTTTTGCAAACAACGATTGCAGATTTGCATGTGGTAAATATGTATCTCAAGACAAATTCATCTGTTTATATCGATATATAATACACATAATAAAATTGGGGCGTTTATATGTAATAGCAAAATAAAAATTCCAGATTTCGCAAAGATGATGTATTGCGTTGCTGATAACGACAATCGGATTTTAAAAAAATGTCTGTCTGTCTCTCCGAAAGCCGCGTTTGTTCCGAATAATGTTCGAATCGGCTGGGCCGATTTTAACGGTACTTTCTCTGGAAGTCTTGTTATAGATGATCTGTTTTTAAATCCCGAGTGTATTTATATAAATGTGTTTAATTGTTATACGAAAGCAATTTCATACAATACAAATGTTTTTTAAATCAAAATTTTGTACGAGTAATTTGCCACAGGCAAATCATAAACGCAATGACGCAGTCCATAGTATAGTCTTTTTATGCAATTTTGTTTTCACAAAAGATGTATACAATAAATTAAGTGTAAAATAAACTAATTGAAAATTTTTTTGTTATATTATTTTATAAAACTGCATACTGTCCAGATGGTGAGTGTGGTGGTAAAGGTCCTGAGCCGATGTCACTCACAGAGTACTTTGCACAGAGTACTTTGTAACATACTGATGTCTCTTTACCACCTCATTTGCGACTCTTCTAAATATTCAATGTAGAAAAAAATTAGGCCTTTAATAGCCTGCACGGAGATCTTATAACCTGCATTTGACAATACGCAAATCTGCGGGATATTTTTTTCAAATGTCAAATTAATTGAGCGTTTACGTCATCAAAATCATAACAAACGATTTTGATATATTTCTGTTAAATTTTTAGCAACATGCTATTACATATACGAGCTACATATTAACCAGGTATACTGATGTCGAATTTACCTCGAAATGCCGATTCTTTGGAAACAATCCTTCATTTTCAAAACAGAGATGTGGTAAGACTTAATGCAATAAAACGTACAAATTTATTTTATTCATAAACTGTTTGTAGGCGTAAATAGATAAAAGAAAACTATGAAATTTGAAATGCTGTTTTAACAGCCGCACTTAATATTCTCTACTACAAACAAGAATGGAGAGTTGAAAAGGGATGGGAAATATTCGTAGAATATAGAAGTAGAGCCCGTAATATCAGTTGGACTTATTGGCAGACATGACCCTTGCAGTATAATGCACAAAAGACACGCGTGACATTGTCTAATGACCGAAAGTGATGCCAAAGGTTTATTTCGTGTGCGTGAAATACGAACCCGTAACTATACGTATACTAGTAACAATAATATGGTACAATAAAACAGCAAAGTCAATGGTCGGTGGTATGGTCGACCGCGCATATCCCGGGTATGGACAATGCGGCTGGCGGCGCGGCGCGGCGACCGGCGCTGGGCCGGCGGCGGCTGCGAGTCGGGGCACTCACGCTGGGCGCCTGTCTCGCCATGCACTGCCGCATCGCAGCCGCTGCGCTAGCGGGAGGATTCTGTATGTTCAGATTTTATAACTTTGATCACACCCACAATCATTTCAGTATTAACTAAATTGTCAATATTTCACGAACTGTGAAGCTTGAGTCTATTTAATAAAAATTCTATTTGTAAAACAGAAAAAAATACAGGTTTATGTTAGTTGTTTTCATGTTCTTCCTGATTCTGGCGGTGGCGCTGCTGGCCAATCCGCTCCGCCACTTCGAGGTGTACCTCGGCCAGTGGAGTATTAGCGGCCCCGGACGGGCTTTTCGTATCATACCGATGTTGGATGGTGAAGAGCATTACAATTATTTATCTTTATCGGTTGTTCGATACTTTTATGATAGAAGTTTTATTTATTTCTTTTTTGTTACCAATATTCCCAGTATTGTTACATTCTTACATTTCTATTAACAGGCATTGGTATGGCGATATGCATAAATGCAATTGTGAGGGCGATCATTTGCTGCACCATAGCGGCCATTGCAGCGAAGTATGTTGTCCACGCCGCCAGCGACGACCGGCTGCCTTACACATATTGCAGGTACAGGTACCATAAGCAACTCTCAAGAACATTAACAAAACAGTACATGAACTCAGGTCGCTATACATCCCCACGGAGAGACTCGAAGCCTACCTTAAGTTGGAGGGAGGGGGAAGGCCATAGTGAACCAAGCTGGCCCAGTGCGGGTTGATTGACTTCACCTAAATATTTGAATTTCTTCGACAATAAGTGTATTACGGCGTTTTGCTTCGCCGTAAAAACGTCATGTAAATCTACATCTGGAATTAAAAAATCACACTGGTACATGGCGGGTACGAACCCAGAGCCTAAAGATTAAAAGTCAAATGCTTAAACCTCGACTCGAAATCACGGAAAACAATTGAAAATCTTATCTTACAATGTTCTTTACAGAGATTTTGAATTAAATCCATACGAACCTATTCTTAAAAATCGGAGAGTTTTGCATTATAAGGTACATATAGTTTATTTTTTGTTTAACAACAAAATGAATTTCAACTAACTAAAAATCTATTTTAGATCAGACCTGAACCCGAATTTTCGACAGTTGGTTTTCATGAGCGAGCTTGGAGGAACTTTTCATACAGAAGGTACATAAAAATTAAAAAAATCTGTAATGTTGAATATATCTTTAATTTCATAATAAATAATCACTTTATTTCAGTAAGAGGATAAGAAAAAGAAAAACAGAACCGGTACTGACGTGCAAAGAAACCTACAGCGAAGGCTATCCGGCCGTGTCCACCTCACCAGCCTATAACTTCTTCTAGTGAGTACGATTATGAACTCTTTGCTTTGATCTAACATCAACGTTATTAATTTATATAAATTTTTCATATCACTGCAGCATAGAAGTTCTTTCATGGAGACCTGATTATAGCTACGAGCAATTGAACACATTTCTTGCACCCTATATCATATTTTGTTGGCTTGTTCTTTGGATTGTGATGGTTATTGAGCATTTCACATTTAAAAGAGTAAGTATTTTCGTAATAAATTTAAAAATGAGTTTGTTTCTCCTACTTAAATATTTTTCATTGTTTAATACATTTAAATGCAGATGGTGTGGAACAACATGCGCTTGTGGCTAATAGCAGTACCTTGGACTTGGGTCTTACTGTTAGTAGTACTGGCAGTCACAAAAACGGTTTTCGGAAACAAGCCTTTTCGCAAATATTTTCGGACTGGTGCTATGAAAACAATTGTTGTAAGTTAAAGATATTTATTTATACTGATGAGAGTGTGAAGATTGTATACATAAAAAATATTACGTTTTCAGGTTATAATAGATGCTCTGGAATGTGCTCTTTACATACATTCTGCGAGTACCGGCACTGAACTTATACACGGCAAAGGATTAAATCATTATGGTATAATGTCCATTTTAGTTATACACACGATACACAACTTCTAGTGTATATCGCAAATATACATAACATATAAATATGATGTCTATGTTTAAAGCATCTGGACACATAGACACTCGGCTGAACAGCGAGAACGTGTGGCACTCGAGCCTGCTGCTGGTGCTGGCGGGGCTGCACACGGGGGCGGCGGCTCTGTGCGCGTTCGATGACTGCTACCATACGAACGCACAGGTCTCCAACATGTATGACAGTGAGAACTCTAACTTGTAGCAGTTCATTCCTATAAATATATGAAATACTTTGCTTGCCTCCTTGATACTTACAATACTGGCAAATATATGTGAAAGATTATCATTTTTAGGTACCCTGTGGATATTACCTTTGTATTCAAAATGCACTCTTGTCGGTAGTTACACGCATATTTTGTAAGTATAGTTTAATTGAAAACACGTTTTATGTATTTTAATCGTCCTAACCTCTTCATAACCTAAAAAATTAATGTAACAGTACCTGTAACTTATAACTTATATCTTGCCACTGTGAACATTTTTTAATGCAGAGCGATAAAGTTTATTTTGACAATTATTAGTAAAACATTATGTTCTATGCTCGTATTTAATTGTTTTTGTAAAACAATGTGTAAAATGATTTATTTTTGTTTATTTTAGGGCAGCCTTAGTCTTTGGTGGTTTAATGTTTTCTTACATGACGGTGGCATTTGTATTGTTGAAGACGGCCCTTCACACGATCTTCGAATATAAAGTAAAATTAGTGTAAGCGCATAATTATTAGTATGTCATCGCTTTGTTGAATTATAATCTGATTTTGTTAATACAATCTTAACTTGTAGATTCAAAGAGCAAACCGTGGTGGCATTCTTAATGTTATCGTGTATGGCACTTAGTTTGATCTTCGCAACTAATGTAAGTTTGTATTTTCTTATATACATTACTTTAACGCTGTTATTAGTATTAAACATTATAAAAATGTTCATTAGAATATTATCCTAGTGCAATAACATCTAAATGTTTGCAGGGTGGTCTCGGGTTGTTAGAGAGCGTAGACATGGTGATGTCAGATGTTTCAATGGCGTACGTGTGCCTGCTGGAGCTGGCGGGGCTGCTGTACGTGTACCGCGGACAGGACTTCATCTCCGACATGAACGTCGCTACCGAGGAGAACGCCTGCTCAACAAGGATCGGCACGCAGTGGCAGATTATACCGATCATCACCCTGGTATAAACATTCACCAATTATATAACTCATGCTAGTAACTTGAACTAGGTGATTACAGAGTTCTTTTACATCCATACATAAATGCGTGGATTCTCGCGTTACGGATATTTCTCTAATCGCGCGATAATTCATAGATGTGAAGTAAGCGTTAACACATTTCATACATGTTGATCCAAAATCAGAATACTATTATAACTATTTGTGAATTATTGTTATTAATGAAGTTGATGTTGGCTCGTTGTCAGGTTATGATAATAGTGAAGCTGACGCAGCTGAAGCACAGCGAGCTGCCGCGGCGCGCGCTGTACGCGGCGCTGGTGCCGCTGGCGGCGGTGGTGCTGGCGGTGCCGCTGCGCGCCTGCTACAACGCCTGCGTCTTCGTACGCGTCACGCTGCAGCGAACTAAAACTGATAGTAAACTATAATATTGCCTAATTATGTTGTTAAATTAATAAAATGTAAAGACAGCAAATGGAGTTTTAATTTCTTCAACTTTATATCCACTCGGCATTTACTTGAAATTATGGTACTGTAGTAATACTAGCTTTCACTCGGGACTCCGTCCTCGTTGAATTAAATTAATAACAAAATGTGGCCTATGTGTTCTTCCAGACTATTCTATTTGTACCAAATTTCATCAAAATCCGATCTACATTTTAGGCTACCAATACGACTTAGGGTCCTTCAAGAAGAGAGCCTACAATTTCCTCAAAGGCCGGCAACGCTACTGTATTTCCTCCAGTGTTCTCTT